ACTACTATTAGCTTTGTCTCTAAAAACACATTACTTTTGCAGAGAATTTTATATATAGAATGAAATATATTAAGAGATCTGTAAGTCACTTATTAACTATGTTTTCTACATTTTAAATTGATATATAAGAAACTCACTTATCATATGTTTAATTTAAATGAAGATGAGAAAAGAAAGATCTACATAGTCAGTAGAAAAACTCATCTATTTCTTTATATCATACACAGTATATATACTATTAATCAGTTAATAACTATTACTATATAATAAAGATAATTTCTAATTCACTAATCTTAAGAGCATCAGAACTATACTCTTAAAGAGAAGAGTATTATTATACTTCTGACTATATCAAGACCTTATTATGATTTTATATAACTTATTAATCTTATATAAATGATTTCATTCTATCTGAACTGATTTTCAATCACTCTATAATATTATTTAAATATATTATAGAAAGATCTGATTGATGAATATGAGAATCTCACTTCTATATAAGATTAGCAGATTACTCTTTCTTGATAATAAGGCACTGCTGAGATATCACTCTGGCTATTCTTACTTATGAAATGAAAGAAGAGTATTCACTTATTATCTATATAGAATAGCTAGATGCTGACTTCTTATCAAAGAAGTCAGTGATTCATTTTTCTTCTACTAAAATATATATGAGAGTTACTGTGTGTCTTATACAATCTTCTTAGTATACTAAGTATCACATCTGTGATATTCTCACAATAACTCTGTAGTCTATAAGCTCACTATTCAAGCAAGATAGTCAAGCTCACTTATACAGCTTCTTAAACAACTATCTCTATGTAATGCTGCTAACTAGTCACTGCTTCAGTTCCGTCACATTACAATAGTTCAGTCAGTTCTTGACTTCAGTATAATAGAAATCTATTATTATATAGATAACAGCTTCTTTATTTTTTATATTATATAGTCAGACTTATGAGTTAATTTTAAATACAAACTTATAAAAGCTTTTATAGATTATAATTCAGTGAATAATCTTAAGTAATCACAGGCTTAGAAAACTTTCTTTTTAATTTAAAAATATATTTGAAGATTATATCTAATAACTCAGTTTAAGAGTACTTACAGACAGTAAGTATTTCTTATAGAAAAATAGCTTAATTCTGTAGAAAATTCTCAAGAATATTCTTCACTGAGATTGATTTATTCATAAGTTCAGAGAGTTTCTCTATTATAGATATAAAGAATGATATTCTGTAAGTAATTAATAAGTTCTCTGAAACTTCTTTTATAAAGATTATTCATGATTTGAGTAGATACTTCTGAGTGTCTATAGTAGAGTTTACAGAGATTAAAGTATATAACTTTCTAATTCTTTTAGTTATAACAGATAATTACTGACTGACAGAGCTTGAAATATAAGAATAAGTGCTTATAGATGATTATTCAGGTATTTACAGCTTGATATAATATATACTGACAGCTACTAGAAGTATTCACAGTAGAAAGAGAAAATATAGAGATTAAATATATAATAGTATTTAAGCTGAGTTATAAATAGTATTCATAAACTTCAGTCTATATAGTTATATGTAGTCAAGAGCCGCTAACTCTATTGATTATACAAGAGATAGAAATAGAAGTAAAGAATCCGTGAGAAGTGGAATTTCTTACAATTACACAGCTGAGCTTGTGAGTCAATTTCAAAGATAAACTTATAAAAGCTTTTATAAATTATAATTCAGTAGATAATCTTAAGTAGTTACAGCTTAAGAAAGTTTCTTTTCAGTTTATAAGTATCTCTGAAGATTATGTTTAGAGACTCAGTTTAAAAGTGTTTACAGACAGTAAGTATTTCTTATAGAAAAATAGCTTAGTTTTATAAAAGATAGTCAAGAATATTCTTCATTGAAATTAATTTATTTACAGATTTAGAGAGATTCTCTGTTATAGATACAGAGAATGATATTCTATAAGTAATTAATAACTTCTCTGAAACTTCTTCTATAAGAGTTATTTATAATTCAAGTATCTGCTTTTGAGTGTCTGCAGTAGAGTTCATAGAAATTAAAGTATATAAGTCTCTAGTTCTTTCAGTTATAATAGACAGTTGCTGACTGACAGAGTTTTAAAATGTAAGAATAAATACTCATAGATAATTACTCAGTGATTTACAGCCTAATATAATATGTACTAATAGCTATTAAAAGTATTTACAATAGAAAGATAAATATAGAGATTAAATGTATACTAGTATTTAAGCTGAGTTATAAATAGAAGTCACAAACTTCAGTCTATATAGTTATGTATAGTCAAGAGCTGCTAACTCTATTAATTATATAAGAGATTGAAATAGAGGTAAAAAATCCGCGAGAAGCAGAATTTCTTACAAAGAATTACAAGAATAATAATTACAAGAATAGAAATACTTATATATAAGAATATCATTAATTGAACATGTAAAAAACACATCTTATATACATTATCACTTAAACACTTAATACTTAATTAATTATTAATTGTATTCTCTTCTTCTTTGTGTAATTAATAAATCGCGCGGTGAAGACCAGATATATATATATGTAGAGAAGCTCAGAAACAGATTATTTTAATTTAAAATTACTTTAAGACTGAGATTTTTACTACAGTAGTCAGAATAATCTCTATAACAGTTTTACACATAAATATTACACTATAATAAAGAATGAAGAATTTCAGAGATATAATAAAAGTTTATATCTTAATTTTCAGAGATATTATAATAAACTTTATAGTAATTCTATAATTTCTTTCTTTTTCATGTTGAATAATGTGAATAGAAATAAAGTATCAGTATAAATATTAAAGTTATTATATTTTTATAGTAAATGCTGTGTTTAACTGTGAATTCACTATTCTGACAGTGTTTAATATAATTAACTACTCAATACTTACTTATACTTAATATCTACTCAATCTTCATTGTTTCATTCATCTTTAAACACTTATAACATGCATTATAAAGCAGTTGTATAAGCAGTATTTAATGATTTAAATAAATAGTTAATCTCTAATTACACTGAGACTGTTAAAAAATATGAAATCAGTTAATATATATTATCACAGTGTTATAAAAATGTTTCAATATTAAGAAAGAAAAGAAGCTCTATTCACTATAAAAATCTCATAGACTTATAAGAAGAATAGCTTCTTTTTCATATTAATTAATTAATAGATTACAGTTTCTCTTATACATTTCAAATTCTTTATAATCTTGTTATTAAGATTCTAAAAGTATCTATTAAAATTAACTAAGTATTATAATTCTTCAGAACAGGTTTTTAAAAAGCTTATAATATAGTTTTACACTCTTTCAGATACATAATATTAATCAAGAACTTTTATTTCTATTATTAATATACAGAAATTAATGAAGTAAATTAAGTAGTAATAGTATTAAATATCTAGTAATTTTAATCAGATAATTTACATAAGAGAAAGTCTTACTCTTAGTAAAAATGATTTTTCTAATAGAGAACAGACAGTTACAGCACACTCTTAATTAAGAGAGAAGATATTATAAGTATAATAAAGTAATAAAGCTATTAAATTTTTTAAATTTATTATTAATACAGTTATTTTCATCAGTAAAGATATAAATTATATATAAGAAAATAATAACTGTTAAAACTATTAAAAAGAATGAATATATTTATAAGAAGAATATTAAGTTATAACACACTATTCTTAAGAAATAGAAGAATATAAATATTATAAAGAAGAGAATAAAGTAAGAGACAGCTTATTAAATAGTAAAGTAGTAAAAAGATATAAATAAGACTATAAGAGTTACTTAACAGTAAATTGAAAAGAAGCTTAGAGATATAAAACAGACTTAAGAGTAAAAAGAGAAAGAAGAATAAAGTGCTATATAATAGTACTTATAATTAAATAAAGAAAAGAGTGAAGAATTTTAAAATCATCTTTTTAATTAGAAAAGTAGATTCTTAATTTTATAAAAAATAATTAAATTATGTTTTCAGAGTTCTATCTAGACTGATTATCAGAATTATGAATTTCATATTTAATCTTATTTAATCTAATTTTATACATTTCTTAGCATAAATCCTGCTGAGACTAGTTATTAAAAAAACATGTAAAGTAACTATATATCAAATCTTAAAATAAAATCATGACTTGAAAAAAATAAGAAAGTAATTTTATTTGATTTCATTTAATCTCATTCTTAATAAAAAGTTACTATTTTTAGATCTTTTAAGATTTTTTAAACTATTTTTAATTTTTTAAAAAGTAATACTTTTTAATAATACTAAAATAAGATTTAAAGTCATTTAAAGTAATAAAAATAATTTAAATTCAGAAGTGAAAATTATAATCTCATTTAAAAAATATAATAAGAGTAGATAGTAAGTCTCACTGAGATAGTATAAGACTACTATTTAATATTAAAACTATGTAATAAGATCAGTTGAATTAGTAATAAAACTATTAAAAATTCTGATTCTGATCTCAGACATAATTACACAGTCAGTCTAGTTCTATCAGAGTATTTCTAGATTCACTGTTAAAGAAATCTGACAATATTATAATCTTTACTAATTTAATAACTACTTACTCACTGAATCTATCTTTATTCAAAATTTCATATTCTAAATAAGTTATTAAGTTAAATAAATATCTACAGAATTAGCTGTATATTTTTATGTGTAATTTTCTATATATATTTTCATCATATAATATATCACCTTAAAATCTAATTGCATTGTTGAGATATCATTGAAAATATTTCATCATAGTGATGGCGAAATGCCGGGCGTTGGGTGTAAGCAGGTGTTGGGTGGTTGGTCATGTTACTGTGTCAGAACAGTAGATTCACTATTCTGAAAAATTCTCAATTTACAGCATGGTAGTAACCACCAACACTATGCTAGCTCACGTGCTTCTCTCCAAGTGAATACAGGCTCTAATGTCATTAAGTCATCACTCAATTGCCCACGCTGTATGAATATGTTGGATATTTAGCCACCACCAGTTCCCCACGGGCCAATTGCAACCCTCTCCTCGGACAAAATCTCCAGCTCAATCGTATCATGCACCTGGCTCCCAAGACCCCCAACCCGCTCCACAACAAGCCACAGACCCCCCCGCTGTTCGAAATCCGGCTGCAAATCGAAGTCCTCGATGCGTATCCCACTGACAGCATTGCTAAAGCTTCCATCGCCAGATGATGAGAGTATACCCTTATACGGGCCCTGTCCTAGCTCAAGGGTCATTAGAATCGGAGACGGGGCGACACTTCGGGTTCCCGTCCACGAGCCCTTATGCCTCACAATGGCAGTGATTCTGGCCAGTCGGGAAGTGGTAATGGGTGCAAGAATCTTATTCGTGCCCGGTGGGAATATGCCAATGTCGGACACTATGCTCAACTGCCCAGCTCCCTCGGCAGGGAGTGGCTTTACGATGCATGGCTTGGTCGTTTTGATCAACAGGGTAAACTTTCCAGGCTGGTTGGGCGCAAACGTGGAGCACACAGCGGTAAATGAGCCGTTGGTTAGGCCGAAATGTTCAGCAAAGGCGCAGCCCGGCGGTAATCTCCGCTATCAAAAACAACGTCTCGAGACCGGACATTGGAAACACGCTTGCCTTCTGACCACATGACCTTGACGTGCGCAGCTAGTTCGGGGTCTTCAGTCTCAAGTATGACAGAAATATTGCAGGGCTCTAAGATATCGATCCTAAACTGTGGATTTGTCGGATACCTTGCCGAGTCTGTGTTGCCTCCAGCTGTTGATGTTGTCCATGCAGCAGGTAACTTTCTAACATGCCCGTATTCCTCCGTAGCGTGTGAAATAGATAGGGGAGCCGTAGAGAATCCCGATAAAGAGAAATTCTGGCTCACCCTCGGCAAGGACTGTTCTGCAGCCACAACGGTGTAAACAGTGTTTGGAGGCATCTCAAACCTCATCAATGTGTTCGGCGAATCGACATACGGGCCCCGGCGGAAAGACCATCGCTCACACAGGTTCTCTGGCCATCCTTTTTGAAAACGTAGAGGCTAATAAAGCCAGGTTCATTATTTTCACAGGAAACGTCTATAAGTTTATTCCGAGTTCCGATGTAGTCGCCAGAATGGAAATGTCGACTTAGCAGGAGCCAAACAGAGCCTCCCGCTTTGGAGCCTACCGCAAACTGTGGATTTCTAGCTAGGTAGCCGGGAACGGAACTGGCAGAAGAAAGATCCCAAGTAAAATGGATATCCTGTCGGTAGGAAAAGAGCGTCGGGTTCCAATTTAAGTATAAGTTTTCGAAATTCTGAAGCAATTTGTCACAATCTGTCCAGAATGTTCCTGGGGAGAGTGTCCGATGAGATTGCTGCCGGTCGGCGTTATTTTCTCCGTCGCCTTCAGCAGGAACAGGAGGGTGGGATTGTCCAATCCCTTTCCAAATAGAGCCAGCTGCCCAGGGATTCTTAACGAGGAATTGGCGACGGCCGTTAACTTCCTGCATATCAAGTATTGCATAGTCATGCACGCTCACAAGTCCAAGTTCCTCTTCTTCCCGTTCAGTTAATGATCCCGTACCAACAGTGATTAATACATCACCGTAGTTAAATGCATTAAACAACCTTTTCCACAGCTGATCAGGGATGACATCCTCATCATGTAAAAATATTTGTTCCGGAATCCAGCCGGTGAGGATCCAAAGATCCGTCCCAGAATTACTTCCAGGGAAATCATAGCCTCCTCTAACCTTCAAGTACGCCTTTTCGACCAGCGCTGGCCATAGGAGAGCAGGGTTTTTCCTATCGATGACATGAAGGAACCTCGGCGTTTTGGAGGAGGGGAGTCGATCGTCAATTCCCCCTTTCCGGTAGCATCCATTAAAATGCATTCGAAAAA